AATATGGCCAGAATCTGCAGGGCCACGGATACACCAAAAACTAAAATTCCCATCCTTAACCTGTTTGTGTCCAACATAGGTCATAATTCAATTCAAGTTTTGTTTTGTTTTTAATATAGCACCAGTTCGCGACAACAGTCGCCTCATGGCGCTTTATACCGTAAAGTAAAGACCCTATCGCTTTCTGAAAAAAATCCCCCAAATCAGGCAGCCCAATATGTGCAAGCACTTTAAAGAAAAAAAAACAACAACTCCCTTTTAACAGGATGAACCCTTCTGCACAACCAGGATCACAGCAGGGCAGCTAAGAATTTTAATTGTTTAATTTTAATGTTTTTAGATCATAACGTCCCAAAGGGCTTTCACTTAGACTGTGTTTATTAATTTTTATGCAGAATTTATTATTGAATTTTTTTAAATAAACCTATACAAATAACTATCTTCACCTTATAATATGGGTATTTTTCTATTCGACAGGAGTGCAAATAGTTTCACTTTTTCCATATTAAATGTGTTCTGTTAACACAAACTTCAGAAGGACGTTGCGTGGTAAAGTATTTGACACCGACCCCCTAAAACACACATCCTTAACTTTTAACTTTTCCAATCATACTTTTAAAGCAATATTATTCTTCTCTGGCCATATTATATTCATAATTGTGTATGAGCTAGTCAAGTCATGACAGATGGGCTAAATGTGTCTATATAAAGGTCCTTGCCTATTGTGGTACTCCTTATATTAAAATAGGTGTTCACTGCGCTTTAATTTACTTATAGAGGCAATAGTCACGCTATTAAATTATGGCACTAACCTTTGCCAGTGCTTTTACGTTAATCTGGTTTAAATCACCTCCAACATGTTTTATTGTTTTATAATTACGCATTTTAAAGGGGGACTGGAAAAGCTGAACATCTGGAGTCGCCTACGGTTGTATTTACATGCCCAACAATATTTTATCATGATTAATAGCCTAAAAACAGACGACTGAATAAACGAAAGGCACCCAACCAGAGAGAAACTGAGGCGGAGAGAGACGTTTAGAGGGAGTGGGTTGGTTGAGTGTGGGGAGGGGGACCACCAGCCCACCGAGGACAAACTTGCAAGAAGCAGAGGATACAGAAAAGGCTCCGCAAGACAACAGTGCAGCAGCTCGGCGAGTTTTGAGGCTACAGAGGCAGAGCAGAGCTTGCAGCGGATAACAATGATTGCAACAACTCAACAAAATATGACCACGGATCTGGTATGTGTGCATTTTCTTTTGTTTTGTCCGCACTTTTTTCTTTTTTTTCCTTTTTAGATTCAGAGCACGTGTATGTGTGTGAGAGAAGGGGGTGTTTTGTGATGTGCAGTGAGGAATTGGTGTTTTTGCCTTTTCGCCCGTTCACACTTTTCTTCGTTAATATCCATCACCTGGACAGGCTTGACTCTGTGCACTGCGGTGCAGGCTGGGCTAACGTCCCGTCGTTGTCACTCCTACATTGTCTTTCTGTCCCATGCAGACTTTTTCAGCAAAATATCTGCACCAGAAACAATGCCCATTCCTCCAACAGTCAGACGTGAGAATTTGTTCTAAGAGACTGTCCCCTCCAGCGTGGACCTGCACAGTGATAAAGAGGCAGGCTGCGCTGTATGATTGATCAGCCCTCTGCTGCATAGATGTGTTGTCAATGAGCAAAGATTATGAGCCAATATCTTCTTTTTACACTTTAAACCCTTGCTAGTTATGGCACATACTCCATAATATCTGTAATTCTGATTCCATACAGATTCCCTATTCAAATGTAACATTCATGTATTTTCATGAGTAGACAGTTTTGCCTCTAAACAACTTGTGAGCTCACTGATATGCATTTACATGAAATGTTATTGCACAGGTTGTGATCTCCAAGATTAATTTCTGCCTTTCATTCACCGATGGTGTGTAAGTGTGGATGCATTATAAATGGTTTAATGTAAAATTGAAAATACACGTACGTTAGGTGGCATCATTTGTAAACTCTGAATTTAACCCTTAAATTAAAAAATAAATCTTGAATTATTCAGGAATTTTTATTGGCTGCTCTTCAGCAGAGTCCATTTTCAAATCTTGGCAAGTCAAATAATGAGCAGGTCAAACTGTCACTCTTCTTGGGAAAGGGTTTCAATCAAGTGGTCATTAGAACAGGGCTACCCGGAAGGTGAAAGTGTTCAAGAGACTAGATTGAGTAGTTTTATTATATCTAATTAGTAAATAGCCTATTTGTGATACAGATCACGGAGATGTCTGGCATTAAGTGACACACTTATATTTAAGTCTTTTACTTACAGGCTGATGAGAGGAAGTATTAATGAAATCATAGTCTAAAACAATCTTTTATTATAATCCTTCTGCACTTTTGTCTCTTTCAGAGGGCCACAAACGGCTGTGAGGCTTATAAATATTCCATTAGCTGCAAGTGACACAGCATCTCAGTGCAGTCTCCAATCAATATGCAAAGCAATTAATGAGACAATAATATTTGTTCATTTTCAATAAGAGGGTTTGTTGCTGCTTCACTGGGTTATAGACTCTAACCTGTCTCAAGTCAGCGAAGTTCAAATACTATCGACACTATAAAGCCTAGTATTACAAGACTGCAATCTACAGTCTGACAAGGCACCATCTGTCTCTTGGCCTTTGGACCAGAAAAGAAAAAAGTGAAAATGACTTGTGTCGTGTGTTGGTGTGTCAAAATATTAGATAGAGAATGTACAAAGTGGATTGTGGATTCCACTTAATGTGACAATCATCAACAAAATAAAGCATATTTGTGTCAGAAAAACACAGCGCTTCATTTGTGGTTCAGTAAATCCCTGCCATTAAGGAATGCAACTAGCAGTGACAGCAATATTTTTTATCCTTAACGCTGGTTAAGTGCCAGCATGACACTGTAAGCGCTTACACTGAACCTATTACGTGTATATCATTTGCTGGTATCCCTTTAGAGCTTGCTAAAAAATGGCATGTTCGTTTTTTTTTTATTTGTACTGTAACTCTGTATCTCACCCGTAGCTCTCCCACATGTGTTTTTACTGATGCTGCTTATTTCCTAAGGCAGGAGCTTGGCCACTTTGAGTGGCTGGACACGCTGAGGAAAAGCTCCCTTGTACAGCAACCTTTTGTACAGTAATTTTCGTGCGTGTGATGGGGAGCATGAAAAGAAGATAGGGCAGCCTTGCAGCAGTAGAGGCTAAAGCAGCCTTTCATTTCACTAAGGCTTTTGCTGCATTGTCTGGTAATAGCCTCGAGGGCAAAAAGAACTGCCCTGTTAGTTCCATATGGTGTCCTACCACCTACTGTTTTTTTTGGGGGGGGGGGATAAGAAACTAAAAATCATAATTCTGGTGCAGTGAGTGGGAGCACTGAAGTTCATGAAAGACAGCGTTAGATACGGATCAGTATTGATCTCATTACTACAGCAGTTTGGTTACCATTTATTCAAACTATGCTAAAGTTAGCAGTCTGCTCTAATGATAACCTTCATTTTTAATGAAGGGAAGGGGAAATATTGACAAGATAATGCATATGTGGGTTATCTGCAGATGTCCCTTGCAACCTGTTATTGTGAATCCTTAAAATCAGGAAGCTTTTGTTTATATCGAGGGCTGTATGTGACTGCCAATACATCTCTCCCTTTTATATGTTGGTATTTATTTCGTTGATGCCTTCTCCGATGTTTTGTGTGCAATAAACATTACTGGCCAGTATTAAGGGATGAGGTGGAGTAGGGTGGGTGCCCGGAGGTATGCAAATCTACAAGCAGAATCCCTGAACAGCCTGCATTGGTTTCCTCATTCCCCTGCATGTGATTTATTGTTGGATGCCTCAAAGACACAGAAGATGGAGTTAAGGAGGTCTCCTGAGCCTAATTTATGAATTCTGAGCGCCGCCTGGATTCTGCGCAACCCAGTTGTGGTGCATGGCTGTGCAGACTGAGTAATTGTGTTTGGCGTGACTTGCTTTTGTAGTGTGCAAACTCGATCAATACAGTTCAAATTGTCTGATTTTGTGTGCACTTCATTGAGGAAAGGGGGCCAGTTTGTTTGAGTCTGTTTGTGTGCAGTTAAATAAACAGTTGCTTCTATTTAGTGTAATTTCTAAGTCAAAATGGTAGAAGGCACAAAACAGGCTTAGTTTTTGTGAGGTTCTTC